TTTTGGTGCTGAACCCTATATGTGGGAACAGTATTCTAGCAAAGGCCGTATCTGCGCTTTGTAGATCATGAGAAGCTATTGAGGTGTAAAGTAGCTTTTCGCACGAAACAAAAACCCGAGTGTTTGTGAAGCAGCTTTTGCGATGAATCTGACATAATTATCCCATGAAAGAGTGTTGCTGATGGAAATACCGAGCAAAGATATGGTGGGCTTGGTGGGGATGGTGGTGCCAGACATTACAATATCGAGCATACTGAGTTCCGCCTTTCTAGAGAAAATACAGGCTTGAGTTTTGGTGGCGTTGAATTCAAATAGGTTGTTGGTTCCCCAGGCTGTGATTTCAGCAAGGTCTTCATTGACAGCATTGTCCTGCCTGCGTCGTGAGTTCTTAGTTTCCTGGAAAGAAATGGGAATTCTGGAAGAGAACGCATTATGGGGGGTACTATCATCTGCAAAGCTGTGGATGGGGCAAGTTGTTACTCCCAACATATCATTGATATGAAGCAGGAATAATGTTGGTGCCAAAATTGATCCTTGTGGATCGCCGGAATTGATGCCAGTGGTATCAGACGATACACCGTCCACCACCACATGAAGCGATCTGCCTGAAAGAAAACTCGATAAGAGATGGCATGTGAGGTGGTAAGCGGCATGATGGTAGTTTGTGGAGGAGTCCTTCGTGCCAAACACGGTCGAATGTTTTCGATATGTCCAACGCGACAGCTAGAGATTCCCCGTGTTTTTCTAATGAAGATTGCCATAAATGGGTGACGTAGGCAAGTAGATCTCCAGTAGATCTTCGGTGGCGAAAGCCGTATTGTCTATCATTGATGATTCCTGAGCTCCCCAGATATTTGATAAGCTCAATATTGATGGCTTTTTCCATCACTTTAGAGATTACTGATAACAGAGCAATGGGCCTGTAGTTATTGGGCAGGTTCTTGTTCCCTTTTTCGGGGATTGGTTGGACTCTAGCTGTCTTCCAGCATGATGGAAAAATACCCGACCTGTACGAGACGGTCAACAACTTGCAGAGAATCGGTGTGAATTCTGGTGCACATTTTTTGAGGATAACGGGTGGAATTCCATCAGGACCGTTAGCCTTATTCGTTTTGAGCCAAGCAAAATCCGTCTGATAGTGCGTTGACGGAAGACGATTTCGGGCATTCGACTCTCAACTGGTGGAATGTCTGGCGGCACTTTTCCTTCGCAATCTGAAGTAGAGTTTGCTGCGAACATCTCTGCAAATTGATTGATATGGAAAACTATACAGGAAGTATACTTCCCTGAACATAAACGTAAGATAAATCCATTCGAATATTCCGAATTCAAAGGTGCCAGGAATGCGCATAGTGCAAAAAGCGAAGCCAGCAATATTTTTCTCTAACAAGAAAAGAAAATTCAGGAGCACTAACTTTGGATGAATTGAATTTTTATACTGTTCATGAAATAATATTCCTGAATATCACTTGGCCATGTTGAATAGAGACTATTATTTTCTTCTATTCATCTCAAGTATCTTGTATTTCGAGACAATTCCTTTCGACCATATGCACATTGCACATATTCTGATTATTAATGTTCATATATGGTATCATCAAATAGCCAGAATACAAGGTACTCTCGGTAGAATTATGAGAAAAATAATAGTCGTCGGCTATTTGTCATGGTCTCGGGCTATTACCTACGACTATTCCGGAATAAATTGAGCGAGTAGACTGATATAATGAATTATTATTGGCATTCACTTACTCCACTGTGTCGTTATGAACCTAAATTAATGTTTGCAACACTTCTCACGCTTTTCCTACGTAAATAATGAGTCGATGCGTTGTGCGAAATTTTGAATTTCAGAACTCATTTCGAACAAACCTTCATGGCCGCCATTTAGCGATACGTCCATGAAACGTCGAATAAAAGGTGACGTCAGTCCATTTCTTTTTATATAGCAAGGTTCCCAAGTAGTGATTCACACAAGACCAACGAGACGAGACTTCCACAAAGTCTTTGTCTCGTATCGCCGATGAATTATGAAGTCTTGTCTCGAGTCTCGTCTCGCAGCCCCGAGTCTCGTCTTGTCTCGCGTCTCGTACGAGAGTCTCGCAAATGTATCGCAATTTCGTCATGCATAATCTTGTTCCAGTCTAGTACGCGATATTTACCTTCACCTACTTCTTAGGTATGGTAGAAGTAGGGAGAGAAAATTACAACAAAAATAACATTATATATTGAAAAGTAAGTACCTAATAGGTAAATACTCACATCATACATCTAAACAAGAAAAAAATCCAGCATTATATATTCGAAAGTTATAAGAATATAATGAAAAGTAACACGTATATTCTAAACAAATAAACAAAACAAAAACTTGAAGACATCATTATTCCGCCGTAGGAGAGAGAATAGTCCGTTTTCGTTTCACGCACTACGTCGTTTTACAACAATCATGGATTGTGTTTTTGAAGTATTTATGAATGAAATGTTTCGTCTATCTGTGCTGAATAGTCGGAATTCTTTCTAAATAATATGTTGTATAATTAATGAAATTCTCAAGTCTGCAGTCGGCACGCAGAGATATTTACCCGCGAGACTCTCGCACGAGACACGTGAAGTATTGCGCGAGACTCGAGACGAGACCAATGAAAGTCTCGTCTCGTCTTGTCCAAGTCTCGTTTCGAGTCTTGTCTCGAAAAAGATACGAGACCATGCGAGACTCTCGAAAACGAGACTCTCGCGGGCACCACTATTCTCAAGTCACCAATTATAATCAAGTTATCAAAAATATGTTAGAGTTCTGTAGAAGCTTCACAAACGATGAGATTTCCACAAAAAATAAATTTTGTGGAAGTCTGATCATTCTTGAAGTTTTTACAGTGGCAATGGATTTTCATCAAGTAACGACCGTGTCAATTCAAAATATGTTATAGTTCTGTCGTTGAATAAAACATAATAGGAGGAATCCATGATATTATTATAGTTCATTCGTGACTTTTTGACCAGCATGTCAAAATATTTCCCATTCTCCATAACAAAATATCATGTAAATGTTGGAGACTTGGCAACTTTTAGTGCTGAACGCTGAGAACTGACAAGACCGCACGTCCACAAGTCGTGCGCTGTGTTGTCACGTTAACCGATTCAAATGTCCAATAATGTGAATTTATATAATTATCATTTACACAAATTCATTACAAGTAATAAACCACAAATCATGAAGGAACATTTTGGGACAATTAAATTGATATTGCGTCTGAGGAATATTACCAATACTCGATTGAGAATTTATGAGTTATTGTATAAATGATATTTCTGGAGTTACCAATCGTATTTCAACACATGGCAATTGAGCTATAGTCTGCTCCTACTAAGGAAATCGTGGCGTCAGTTTTTACTCGCGGTAAATTTTTATCCGTTTGAAAATTTCCTTGGCATTATTGATGATTTCTACACCTAGAAATCAAACGAAAAATTCTCAAAAAAATTAGGAATTAAAAGGTATTTGAGTGATGATTCCATTTAAGGAATAATAACAAATTAGCTCACTCGCCTATCGACGGTTTCAATTGTCAACCCTAACAGCACAAGAATGTCCTAGGTACGTCCCTTTTTTGTCTCGCGAAACAAGAACATGATGGGGTCATCCAGGGGATGTCCCGCAGTGGTTGTCCAGTGGACATCCCGCCCGGTACATCCCTAGGTTATCCTATTCGTGTCCCTGGAATATCTGATATTGATTCACATCAGAGTCATTGAATTTCATCAAAATATTGAGTGGAATTTTTTTGAAAATGTTTGTTTTTCTTCCGGAAAATAATTGTATTGAGAATAAAGAATATAGTCTCAGAACTTCTTGGGAAATGATCATTTTTCGCAAACAGAAAATGCATAATGCCCCTCAATTTCAAACACCCAAGAATCATAATAATTATACATGACATCCTAACAAAGTTGTATTTATTCAGGTTTCAGTTTTCTGTTCATAAATCGCTTTAGTACATGAATCTTCAGAAGGCATATATTAGCCAATAGAGTAAGGTGCGTGCCTGATGAGCTGAAGGTCACGGGTTCAATCCCTACTCGACTTACATTTTTTTTTGTCGAAGGAGTGTCCCTGGAATATCCTTGGGACGTCCTAGGGATATCCGTTCTTTGTACTTGGTACACCCCAGGGACGTACCAAAGTGGATGTCCCTGGGACGTCCCAAGTATGTACTTTGTTCTGACGAAGGATATTCCTGGGATGACCTAGTTGAAAATTAGGGACGTCGCTGGAAAGTCCCTAGGATTCACTTGTGTTTTTAGGGAATTGACTATTCTGAAATACAATTGTTGCTGTCTGACATACAAGTGTTCTAAAATTCTATTGACACTTTCTGACATATAATTGACGCCTTCTGAAATACAACTCGAAGAGGTGTAGCAACGCAATTTGATGAGACTGGAGATGTCACTTCTCAATGTATGGAATACATAAGTAAGACACATTATTTTATTTGACATACGAAGAGAAACACGAAGACTCGGAATATCCCTAATGCGATAATATATTCAATTCTTATTGCTTTCTTTCCTATACGCCTCCTCATTGGAGTACTCACAAAACACAACAGGCTAAGCAGACACCTGAAACTTATGGGAATAGAGGACAACCCCACTTGCCACAGATGTGAGGAAGACGAAGAAACGTCAGTCCATTTTCTAGGCGAGTGCGAGGCGTACGGGTGGCTGAGTTTTGAAATCTTTGGAGTCGACAAACTTCAACAGGCGGAGTTGATCATATCAGAGTGGACGGACATACTGACCTTCATCAGAAGGTCAGGGAGATTCGTAAAGGAAATGTAGGTGAAGGAAGCATAGATATGTGGAGAGCAGAGGGGTTAGCAAAAAGGGCCCATCGGGGCCTACTCGCTTGGCTACAGCCTCCCCATCTACTACTACTACTTCTATTACTACTACTCCCTATCACAAATTATATTGGTATGAGAAATCATGATCAAGAAATTCTCAAAATCTTTATTATGGCAGACAATCAAATCTCACAATAGAACTGAGTACTCAAATCGAAATATGTGAGTTCAACACATACCTATCAATTCAATATCTTGGATATATTCTGCCTTTACGGCCACCCACTAAACGCCTACGACCATATACAGTATTGCTCTCATAGTTGTCATCACAAGGAGTACCTTCAATAGCTCCTGCTACTGTGTTAGTCCATATCCTGAAATTCACTTCATCGTAGTTCAACCTGCCGAACTGGAATTCGGGCATGGTATTCGTCAACACGTAAATTCTGTCCCGGTAAACTTTGACGTCGTTAGGGTAGATCATCCTTCTGTCATCCCGTTGGACGATGGATTTGGTTCTCAACGGCTTGTTGGTGTTCCAACAGCCCAAGGCATTTTGGCTGACCAAGCACATGAACATGACTCCGCTGCATTGGTCAATGTCAGCTGACGTCGTTTGGGAAAGTGGGCCTCTGTCTCCAACAACCTACATGAAATTGAACATACTAGATTGTTCTATTTGGATCAAAAGTGACAGTTTGTTTGACAAGCGAATTTTGCATTTGCGAGGCAGAGCTTCTGCAGAAGACAAGCAATAGCTAAAGGACCCCGCACAAAACCATAGGGAATTGACCCACAGTGGGATTTGCCTGAAATTCACATATGTTATTGGTATGGAGTTTCTGATCAAATGTTTTCATGTGACCAATCTTCTAAGATCAAAGATTTAGCTCTCAGGGCCGTATTTAGTATAGGTGCCAAATAACCAATGACACTTTTTTTTTCAAGCCCATGGTTTTTGTATCCTCCATTATAATTTAATTGAATGAGAAATGTTGCGAAATCTTGGCATTTGTCTTTCAGCACAAGTCCTCTGTGAAACATGCCTTGTCCTACAGGACCGTATTTAGTAAAACTATATTTGCCAAAGTGCCGAATCGAATTGATTTTGTTATTACTTTCTTATTTCTTGTCCTATTTCAGTGGTCGTTTGATAGATGAATGTAGATTTCTTTGTGTACATAACAAAAGTGGTCACCATCTCAATATCCAAGATGGTCGGCCTAACATTTAATCTTTATGTAGGACATATCTCGTAGCTTTTCAGGAATGATAGTAACAGGAAAAGATAAGAACACGTTTTGATTGTTGAAATCGGTCATTTACTTTTTCAATTACCTAACTCTATAATATAAATATAACTCTACTATCTAATTGAAACTTCATCTAATTCATTACTAATAAAGTTGAAACCGATATTTACAGGGTGGTGAACAAAAAAGTCGAGCACTCACTATCAACATAATTCCTGAACACTTACAGCTGCTGGAGTATTGCATCTTGCACTGGACGATTTGCGGCATCTTTAATATGCCCGTAACACAGTAGTCGATGGATAATTCACATTTTGATTATAGCGGGCAAATCCTAAATACCACAATATGCTACAAATATACAATACCACTGAAATAGGACAAGAAATAAGAAAGTAATAACAAAATCAATTCGATTCGGCACTTTGGCAAATACAGTTTTACTAAATACGGTCCTGTAGGACAAGGCATGTTTTACAGAGGACTTGTGCTGAAAGACAAATGCCAAGATTTCGCAACATTTCTCATTCAATTAAATTATAATGGGAGATACAAAAATCATGGGCTTGAAAAAAAAAGTGTCATTGGTTATTTGGCACCTATACTGAATACGGCCCTGAGAGCCAAATCTCTGGTCTTATAGGATTGGTCACATGAAATCATTTGATCAGAAACTCCATACCTATAACATATGTGAATTTCAAGCAAATCCCACTGTGGGCCAATTCCCTATGGTTTTGTGCGGGGTCCAAATTTGCGAGTCAAACAAAGGCACTTTTGATCCGAATGGAATTAACTAAAATAAATATGTGAAGTAACCACCAATGCCGTGCCATATGTATGCAATGGCACAAATAATCCGTGATGTGATAATATTATACATGCATTAACAGATCAATTTTATTTAATTTTCAAGGATGTTTGAATCTAAATACAACTACAGAGTGACCCTTTTGTGTGGACCAGGTTTCAGCCCTAATAGGAAATACCGCGCCAGTGCCAGGTATAGGAAAAAGACGTGGAAAACGTTATGTTAGTGAGCATATCAACAATTTTAACAATTATAATAGCGATTATTAATTTCTCTTCATGCTCTACTGTGTTTGGCTCGGTAATCAGATGAAGGTAAACAGTATCGTTGTGTGAGACAAAAAAACTGTTGCTGGCCGTGATTATTCAAAATCAAGTTATTCATCCCAAGAATAACGAATGAATTACAGATCAATAAGCAAGTATCTTGAATGCTTTCCTGATCAAAACAAAGATACTCAAATATAATGCGATGTATTCATATCTGCAGCATGGGTATGAAATGCCAAGTCTGCCGAAATCGGAAACAAATCAGGTATGCGTCCCAACCCAAATAACCAACCGTAACAATGTTGTATATTCTCGATGACCACTAGTACATCCTTTTCAGTTCCTAGGAGCTGAAGTTCAACATAAGCTGCCTAGCAACATTCCTATGTTGGTGTCAGTAATAGAAACGTCAAATAAAGGGGAACAATATCCTAGGAACTAAAAGTGTTGCCTACCAACATACCTATGTTGGTGTCAGTAATGGAAACGTCAATTCAAGAGCTGATTCTGGTATTATAATGGACGGCTCTTGTGTCGATTGCAGAAAAAAGTGATTTCTAACTCTGGATCAGTAACTGACTTGGTCTTACTTCAACATGAAGCTATTTGACAAAAGTTGGTGACATGGAAAAGATCAATTATTGTTGATATTTGAATAAAATGAATCCGTAAGAAAAGCTGAAAGAATTGGAGGTCCTTCTATTTCTTGAATGAATGATCATCACAATAGAGGTAAGATTGAACTCAATAGAGAGAAGTTATGAATTCAATCATGTTCAGACGAGAGGGATGATAGAAGTCAATGCGAGATGAAAGAAGTCGATGCGAGATTAGACGAGACAAGACCAGACAAAAGACATACTCTATCTCATCTTGGCTCGTCTAGTTTTCAACACTTGCCATTTGTTTCCACTTCATGATCGCTAGAAACCAATTATTTCAGTTCACCAAGGCCGTTTTAAACTATGCTAGGGCTCAAGGGCATACAAAAATTTGTGGCCCCCTTGGAGAGTAAATATAGTACTATACACTTAAATTTTTTGATTATCATATTTCATTTATTAGGGGTAATGGAATAACCAATATAATATGTCACAAAAAGAGAGAAACTCAAAGTCATTACCACAATAGTCCATAAATTGAAGGAAAATGGTTAATAACGAGAGAAGAACAACTACCTTTCTGCCTATATGCCACGCAAAACAATGGATTTCATCATCTTCCTTGCCAGGTGGAGTTCGGCGTTCACGTTCATTTCACGGACGTTGAACGCCTCGTGGTGTATGAATGCTGAGATGCGTTCGCAACAGATAGCGGTCAAGAAGCTATCTGGGTCAGCCCTGCACCGATGAGCGCCAACTGCTCGAAACCGCCCTGCAGGTAGTCACGCGTTCCTGAACCTCTTTGGCGCAGCTAGGCGTCTAGGAAGGAAAAACTTGCGATTTTATTCGTCCATACGAATTATTGTTCATATTTCGGAAGGATCTAATCCAATGTTCTATGTGGCATATAGCCATCAGGAAAGGAGTTGTTTTTATCTCGTTATCTACCATTTTATGAACTATTGTGGTAATGACTCTGAGTTTCTCTCTTTTTGTGACCATTTGCATTCCACTTTGAGTATTTGGCTTCTCCCTAGCTGAATATAATATGTCATTGATGATATTAAAAATATTTGACAGTGGCGCTGTGCCGCTGTGCTCGACAAAAATATAAATGTGAGAAAAATTGTTGTTCCTTCCCTCTGAGGATGAGGGGCACTGGACACGGGCCCTGTATGCCCTCATGGTATAGAAGGTATTGTAGTTCATCACTACCACTAACAATTATTTTTTCAATCGCTGGATTAGTGGTGTAGTAATCAGATTATGAAAGATGGAGTTCTCCAGCTCGAAGTGGGATTGATTACTTGAAAATTGGAATGAATGCTTTCATAGGCGATTTAAAATAAGCGACACGCCCCTTATCGAATATTCAAATAACTAATAGAAAGAACATTGAATGTTTGTTTTCATTCAGGTTTCCATGTATTTCATCAAGAGTTCAGCGGTCACTGTGATATTTTTCGAATTTGAATTTTTCAGTAGAGTATCTTGAATCACTATTGCTCGGTTTTTCATGTTACTCAGGAAAGTTCCCTCACTGTATTTCACAGATAATAATAATTTCAATCAGAGTAATTGAAAGATTTCATTCAAACTCGGAGTTTGAAAACATATGTATTTTATCCCCGGATATGAAAAGTCACGAAAGTAATTTGAAAAGATGCAATCATTACGTACTCGAAAGCCAAGCACTCAAGTTGATTTTTTCCTGGGTATACAGCTTCGAGGATAATTTATCACCAGATACCTATTTTATGAGATTCAGCATCATATATTCACTCCACTCAATGTAAAATAATTATTCTACTACTGAATAGAAACGGAATGCAAACTAACGTAACCACGAATTGGGGCATTTTCATTTTTTGAATCTCATATATTTGAAGTAGTACAATGAAAAATAATCTGCGGACAACCTACCTTGAATAACAAAAGTCCATAAATCAACAGTCAAAAGCGATGTTTTCATTGGTTGCATCATTACCAAAGAATCGAAATAATACACACAAGCAAGTGAACCATTTCAAAATATGCTATTATTGAATTTGAAAACTTAATATGTCATCGTATAGCAGGAAAAAATTGGCAATATATAGGTGCTCTTAGTTTTCATATTTTTCTCAAATTACGCAAGAAAAAAATACAAATGATTCAGCAAAACTTCTGTTTCTCCGGTGTATCTCCGGAAATACTCTGAATCAAAAAAAATTCTCGGGGGCATATTTTTAGTCACCTAAAAGCGCAACTTTGCCCTGATGAATTCAACCATCTTTGTATCTCCCATAGTTCACGAGATTCCAAAGGTGGCCCTCGAATTTGATTAGACTCACCTGGAAATCATCTGCATGAAAACTTCTAGTTGCTAAAGTCTCGTTCCTCAAAATTCTCGTTGACACTCTGTATAAATGACTACCCGCCAAAGCGTGGAAGTAGAGATCTCTGAAACCTGTTGGTTTGATGCTCGACAACTCTACGTTAAAAACCCCATCATTCCATTGGAAACGATGTCCATGAATGTTGAAGTCGCCTTGTGAGTTTTCTAAGAAAAGGTAGTTGTGGGCTACACGCCATGATCTATTCTGCTTCAGGCTGTAAACAATGATACTGTATCCACCTGGAAAACAGTATTATATTATAATAAATGACATTGTTCTTCAGACCAGAATAATTCGATACAAGCTAACTCACCTCAGTACAAAGTTGTTTATTTTGGACGCAAGACGACTGACGAACTGTTTTTGATTCATTACTCTGAGACAGCTCATGAGATTCCACTCAAATTTGGTATGTTGGCCAAACTTCATTAGGCAATAAAACCCATATCATGAGTATGATGAATATCCCTCCATGGGTTTGAATATAAAATTCAGATTGCGTGATTTGTTACTACAAAAGAATGTCTCATTATTGAATCCGATTTCTCACATGTTTTCGACAATATTTGAATTTTATAAATTCAAAGCAACAGTCAAGACTAAGACGATCAACAGATATTTCATAAACATTTTTCAAAATATTCATCATTTTTCCGTATGACGAATATTGTGAATGTTTTGTAAAAGTAAGAATCCCCTTTGTTGTAATTCGCATTGTTACCTAGCGAGACATGAATGTAAAATTACAGGAATGCTTGTGTTTACTGGGACATTTCTCATAGTAAACAAGTTACTCAATCCTATATAATTTCATATTAAAACCTCTTTCTTTTCGTTGGCCTAGAAGTTTCAGATGTTTATTCACTGAATAATCAATTTTCTCGCTTATGGAATGATATTTAACATAATCATGATATGGGTTCTATTGCCGAATAAAACCTATGCCGAAGAATAGAATTTGAGTACAATTCAATGAGCCGTTATGGAGCAAAAACGAATTGAAAATTGAAACTCCAGAGACGTCTAGCTCCCAAACTAAGCCACTTTGCTCGTAAGTTTTCATTTATCGAATTATTTCTGTCTGAGGAATATGTGGTGAGTTTTCGTCAACACCTTTCATATTATATGTATCGATATGTATCGAAATATCGATATGTCTTATATATCGAATTATTGATATTCTTCTGATGATACAGTTATTCGATTGATATATCGATAAGTCGATATATCAATCAGCCTTAATAACCGTGTGGTTGAAGCATCAGTATTTTATCCATGATGGATTGCCGGTTGGTGGGTTTGATTCCCACGACTGCAGAATTTTTCTGATGGCATGAGAAACTGTTTTAGATAACACGTTAAAAGGTAAGGCCCCCGTGATTCCTTGCTCGTACAAGTCTCTCGAATACGTCTGAGGGTTGCTCGTAGGGATGCAACAGGATGACGCATACAAACAATTTTAGAAGCAAGTATATCGAATGAAGACATACCAATGTATATCGATACGTGCTATATCGACATCTCGATATATTTTCATTAATAATATCGTTATTCGATATATCGAAATATAACGATATATCGATATTCTTGCGCAGCCCTAGTATACAGAGTGGGCATTTGAAAACGAAACAGAGGCTCTGTAGGTCGCCAAAACCGGATTATGAAAAGAATCTGGAACACGTCAACTACGTTTTCGAGGGGGACATCGTCCTACAATATTTTCAGCCCTGCGGCATTGCCGCTGCTAACGAAAAGAAGCAACAACTTTGTTATTTCAAATGGAACACCTTGTATTTCATTGCATTTTTAGATTCTCCCCGAAGAGCTGATTTCATCAATGCATCACACTTGGGGTCTAGCTGTAATGGTTTCAGGGATATAAAGTGTTCAAAATCGAGATTTATCAACATCGACATTTTTTTGTGTCTAAACTATTCATTATTGGTCGAAACGGCTCTCATGTCCCTATCTCAACTTGTGATTTACTATCTACTGACAGGGTGATCAGAATTCTGAATCTTGAACCACCCTGTATTTGTATCAAATAAATGTCAGTAGATAGTAAATCACAAGTTGAGATCGGGACATGAGAGCCGTTTTGACCAATAATGAATAGTTTCGACACAAAAAAATGTTAAAGTTGAAAAATCTCGATTTTGAACACTTTATATCCCTGAAACCATTACAGCTACACTGTTTGGTCGTAGTACCATCAATTTTTGTATTTATAGTTTGTCATTGATGCGTTTATTTTCCTTCCCAAAACTATTTTTATAATATAGTAACAATATACTGTTCACTCAATGAATGTTGCGAAGAATACATTGTGAAAAATTAACCTCGATTTGAACTTACCCAAATCTGGTAAATAGGCGTATGCATCGTCACAGGTATTCTCAGTGACGTCTATGGTGATACTATCGAGTAGACTGGCTGGCCTCATGAATGAAGTCGGTATCTCGTAGGAATGGATGACTTGATCAGTGTTGAGGTCAATGACAAATATCATGGATGCTTTGACTTGACTTGAATTCCCTGCAACGAGTTTACGGAATGTTGTATTATAAAATGTGCATCTGAAGGCACTATACGTATACATTTATATTAAATCGAGTATAAGATGATGTGGTTTAGCGAACAAAGTGTAAGATATTGGAAAAATGAGAGGATAGTTCAAGTAGGCATAAATCACACATGTATTGAATGATATACCGAGATACCAAGTGGAATTTTTTTCGGAAAGCGGTTGCGAAAAAATGTATATAACCTTCATTCTTGTTGCACCTTCGACATCCTGGTTATATAAAAATTACCAATTGGTATGTTTTTTATATCAGGTTACTGACAGATGCTAGGTTCGCAGACATCAATGGAAACTATGAGAAGAATATATCGTAACATTTTTCAACTGCAAAATAAAATATACGGTCGTCTGGGAGTAATTTTTCAACTAACTTGCAGTGCAGAAATTATAGTCAATGAACTCAATACAACTGGAAGGGATACGATCGTTCTCTCGAATAGCACAAAGTGTGTCAGGGGCAGCTGCAACAAAGATAGCATGATTTACGGATACCTGTCCTCTTCCAACTCGTGTTGTTTAATGGTAGATTGGTGAATAAATCTTCTTTTATCTAATAATTGAAGTAGTAAAGAATTTTTTTTGTCATCTACACAGGCAAGAAAGTGAAGACATAAGTTCATTGTCTTAGTTCATGTGAAATACGAGGTGAAATATCTATTCATTAGGCGTGTTTTGTTGTAACAAAAGTACTGAATTTGTTGTTGTGAACACTGAACTGAAAGTTGAGAAGGTTTTTGATTAGTATTGATAAACAATGGTGATTTATTGTGTCGCCATTGGATGCAAGAAGAATGAACAAAACAAAAGGAAATTAGCATTCCATGGGTAAGTTGAATATTGTTCTCAGATTTTTGAAAAATATAGTTCATGAAATGATCATCAGTTAGGTTTACAATGTCCAGTCTCAGAATATGTTCAAAAACTATACCTATATTATTTGTCAAAGTTAAATACTTCCATATTGATATTGAGTAATATTATTTATTGCAGTTTTCCATTCAAAAGACCAGACATTCTCGAATTATGGATAAAGGCAGTTCCTAGTGAGAATTGGACTCCAACTAAAAGCAGCAAGCTTTGTGGGAAGCATTTCCTGCCAACAGATTATTCAGGCATACCAGGTACCTATACTGCTAGGTTTTTGAAAGCAGATGCTGTACCCAGTATATTTTCATTTCCTCAGCATTTGTTACCAAAAAATGCTGATTCCCCCAGGAAAATAAGAGAACTCATAGGTACCTAGTTGATTAATAATGAAAAAAAAGTATGTTTGCACCAATTTAAAATAAAAAAACTAGCTAGTTATTTGTTTTCAGGATGCATCTGTGGACGTTCATAACTTGGGTCCAAAGGAAGAAGTTTCCCATGTTATTGACTTTGACTTGCCTACCACTTCCAGCTCCCAAGTTTCGAAGTTGATCAATAAAGAAACTCAAACTGTTTCATTAGAGAAGGATATTGTATTGAGGAGAAAAGTGAACACCCTGAGACAAAAAGTAAAAAGGAGAGACCTAAAAATTTCAAACATGAAAGAATAAGTAGTTCAATCAATTTCCAACAGTGGGTATAGTAATGACAATTAATGAGTGACCTACTGGAGGAATAGGAACCTATGGAAATTATGCTCAAAATGCACTCATCAATACCATTCAAGAACCTTTTTTCCAATTTTTCCTATCGGTTTTCTTTTCCTTCTGATAGTTCTGAGACATTGTGCTTCGCTCACCCTGTACAATATATTGTGAAATTTGAATAAAAATATATAATTTCAATTTTTTATTCATTTGACTTCCTGATCCTGTAAGAGTAATATTGAAATTTCATTTTAAAGTCAATAAAAAAATCAGTAATAATTTCTTAATGATAATTGATTACAACATTATCCTTTTTCCTGAATGAATATTTTTATTTAATCACGTTCACTCTCAAATAGAAGCAAAAAACGAGAAAATATTTCAAATTATGCGAGCGCTTCCCATTAGCCAACACAAGATAGAGAGAGATAGGTATCCTGGCGGGTTGCCTGAAAAATATTTTTGCCTCACTCGTCGTTCACAGTGGGTCCCTTCAAGTTGTTTACATACAGTTCATTGATTATAGTAGGTACTTTTTTGCACGCGACGGCAATTACACGATCGAGGCAGAGCGTTCGCACAATTTTTGTATTGTTAAAAATGAGGATATTGAGGACCAACTAAATGATCCAAGTATCCATTCTTTCTTATTTGTCATTTTGTAACCATTATTATAAGATCGTTTTTATTTAAAACTTTTGTTTTTTTATCGATACTATTGACAAAAACACTAGTAGGAAGAACATTGTACCTTACTATTGCGAACATTGTCCCTCCACGTCGTTCGTGCAACAGCCGGCGCGTGCGCAGTAGTACTACTTTCCGCACTTGTTAGATAAATAACTATTTCAGCACTAGTGCGGTGAAGTAACTTTTCCGCACCATTTCAAAGACAGTTCCACTCAAGTGGATAAGAAGATCGGATGAATTACGTTACCAAGGCAACGCTAGCATTTACTGTTTGTTTATCAAGTGTTGCGCGTCGCATCAGTTTGACAATTGTAAATGTCTAAAACAGAAATAAGTAAACAGTGAATGATTTTCCAGTGAGTATGTGGAGATTTGAAACTATTCACGAGGCAAACAGAATAAAGGAGATTGAAAAATCAACTCCAGATAATACAAAAAGAAGTAATTTCTCCATTCGTAACCAATTCAAGAGCGAAATTGGGAAAACCAACAGTCAGTGAAAAATGTGGCAGGAATATTGGTAAACTGGAGCTCAAATATGAAGAAAGAGAATGGGGAAGATCATGAAGGATACGTGGTGAAAGCAACGTACGATCTCGTGATATTTTCAGAACAGCCCTCGTTTAATTGACAATGAAAATAGGTATTCGAGAACAACTACAAAACATATCCGGCTAGATCTGAGCTGTTGTGGTACTATGCACGATTAAATCGCGCAATGAACATCGTGCGGAAAAGTGAGATCGTACGGAAAAGTATTTCTTTTACAAGCGTGCGTGATTCACCCTATAACCCGCACGGAGTTTAGTTTGGGAAGTGTCATTTTCCCGCAACAATGCGGGAAAAACGAGGATATGATAATATCGCAAAATTCAAGTATGTATGTTCAGAATCATCCATCAAATTCATTCATTTATTGTGAAAATAAAGAAATATCGAAAAATAAAAATTGATTATTATAAAAATCCCTCTATATATTTGGATTGATCTGATGGGAAACGATTATTGTTGGCATGCCAATCAAACCTCAAATAATTTTGTAATTGTCGAAGTGACAGACACAGCGATACTGTCATTTTCGATTCAGTGGAATTGCTACAATGTGATACAAAACTTCCAGCTATAGGGATGCGATTCAGATGTGAAGAAGGTATATGCGTTTTATTAAAAGGTGCAACAATGAAGAAATGAAAATACAGAATAAAGAAAAAGTATTTATGGCTCATGTCCTAGAAGTGTCTGAAATCTAGAGACCAAACACCTTATGGGCCTGCTGGCTTCCGTAATGAACCTATACATGCATAATGCGTCAAACTGTAAGTTCACAATAGCTATTACTAATGATTAGTAGATAGAGAATATATTTCTCTTGTTAGTTGTTTCTATTTCCATGAATGATTAATTGAACAAATCAATCAATAATACCCTTGTAGAAAAAATGTTGTTCCTAACTCATGCGAAAAGTGTATTTCCCGCACTCGACTGCTCGCCCGAACTCCGCTTCGCGTCGTTCGTGTCAACGGCATTCGCCTGCGGGAAAGTATTACTTTTCGCACTTGTTAGGAAAATAACTATTTCCGATCGATGACAGAACTAGAGAAAAAATAAAATGAGAAGTAAACAATCGATGAAAATATTCAATGTTTTCATCATCTAGAAGAAAGAAAAACCTAAGGAAATACTGAATCAAGTATTCACAGGGAGAGCTCAGATGTGGGAGGATAATCTGCCAGCAGCAGCAGCAGCAGTGATCGGTGTCGAGGTTCACCATCTGATGATGAATAAAAAAGGCATGTCTCTAGTGAGTGATCAAATACAGTGTGACCCACTTCAAATGGAACCACCCCTGTATCTCATGTAATCGTTAGGTAAGGATCCTGAAATTTGCTGGGAGTGAGATACATAACAAAAATGCACTCTATGACCAAGTGGGGTCATCTTCAGTGATATACACTGCTCGCCAGCAGCCATGGAACCACCCCAATTTCCGGAAAATGATATTGGGAGTCAAAATAGGTTGAAAATCACTTCAGGACGCCCAATACACTAACTATTCATATTATTCCTGAAAAATTTTCAGTTCTGAAAAATCAAATTTTGTCGCACTTTCCACGGAATCACATCCGTATCTTACGTAATTGACTTCATCTTTGGACTTTCCCTTCCTCCTACAAATTTTAAAATCCTACCTCAATAATTACGTGAGATACGGGGGTGCTTCTATGAGAAATGGGACAAAATTTAATTTTTCTGAACTGAAAATTTCCTAGGAAAACTATGGATAGTGGATAGTTGGTGAAGGGTGCGTCTTGATTCCGAATCCGAAGTGATATTCAACCTATTTTGACTCCTAATATCATTTTCCGGAAATTGGGGTGGTTCCATGGCTGTTGGCGAGCAGTGTATATCACTGAAGATGACCCCACTTGGTCATAGAGTGCATTTTTGGTATATCTCTCGCTCCTGCAAATTTCAGGTTCCTTACCTAACGATTACATGAGATACAGGGGTGGTTCCATTTTAAATGGGTCCCACTGTATAATAACATTTAATCATCCTGAATATAACGTGTCTACGAACAGAAATTTAGATGATAGTCATGGTGCTGAAACCATCTGTAACGACCATTACCATTTTCATAATCAAATCTTCAAACTCTTACATCCTGTATCTCAGATAGGATGTAT